TAGAGACAGGGTTTCACCATGTTGTCCAGGCTGGTCTTGAACTTCTGACCTTAACTGATCTACTCGCCTCGGCCTCCTAAAGTGCTGGGATTACAGGCATGAGCAACCACGCCTGGCCTCCCATGTTTATTTATAAAGGGTGGTCTGAAAGTTTATTTGATGCTGTGGAGAAGATCTGTTGCATCCAGGGATGTTTTTTATGTTCTTTCTTTCTGAGTCTTGGCACAATTTACATTTCTGGCTGGATAATTCTTTGCCGCCAGGCGGTCTCCTGTACACTGTCAAAAACTTAGCAGCATCTCTGGCCTCTGCCCACTAGATGGCAGCAGCACCACCCCGGATATGACAGCCCCAAATTTCTTCAGACATTGCCATGATAGCTCCAGGGAGAACCCAGTGCTCTCCTAGTTAAGAACCACTGTGTCTCTGATGCTGTATTGGGAATTTGTCAAGTGCTTCTTACCCAGCGTAGTTACAGGCAAACTTATGCTAAGCTAAATTCTTAGACATGATGTATTAGTAGCCTTTCTTTGTTTTCACTCTCTTCTATAGAGTGAAATCATTTAAGGTACTGTAGTAATAGTTATTTGAACAAGTGTTTGAGGTCTGGGCTCTGGTCTATATGTATGTAGGTTGAAGATTACAAGGTATCAAGCCTAGAGAGATTGGATGGAGGGACTTGAACTGAGGTTGAAATTCTAGCAGCTGTTTTCTGCATAGAATGAATAGTATGGCTGTGAATTTGAGGCATGATATACCTTGTAATATTCTGTAACCTCCAGAGTGTAAGATATTCTTTGTTTTTATTTGCCTTTTTGCTTTCCTCTTGCTCTTTCTTTGTTGGTGGAATAATTATTTATTTACATATTCTTGGGCCCTAGTATTAGAGCCATATGGTAGATACTTTCTACCTATTAGAGCTTTTTCTCATTCACTGCTTCCTGCTTTGCATCTTCATTTTATTCTTGCCTTTTTGTCTTCCTCCTTGATATTGTTACCTGATACTTTTCTCCTTCACTCTTTTGTTCTGGCTTCTCAACACTCCTCAAACTATGAATATTTTTTAGGCTGGGTGCAGTGGCTCATCCCTGTAATCCTAGCACTTTGGGAGGCCGAAGCAGATGAATCACAGGGTCAGATCGAGACCACCCTGGCCAACACAGTGAAACCCTGTCTCTACTAAAAATGCAAAAAAAATTAGCCAGGCGTGGTCATGTATGCCTGTAATCCCAGCTACTCAGGAAGTTGAGGCAGGAGAATCTCTTGATCCCAGGAAGCAGAGGTTGCATTGTGCCGAGATCGCCCCACTGCACTTCAGCCTGGGTGACAGAGTGAGACTCCGTCTCAATTAAAAAAAAAAAAAATTAATGCAAATGAATCATCAATTCATGTTGCTAGTTTAGATACTTCCACATTCATTAGTATGACTGCCCAATAGGCATTTAAACTTGAGTCTTTTCTGACAATACATTTCCTGGAATTTTCCCATCATAGACATTCTTCCTTCTCTTTTCCACATCTGTGTGAATTGTTGCCCATTAAGGCTTTATAGCCAAGATAAAAGCTTCAACATATGGACACTAACATAAAGCCAAAATAAGAGAAGCCGCCACAAAATGACACATTGAATTCCTCATTTCAGTTCCTCAGTAGAGCCATAATGTTAGACTGATACAGTCCTGGGTGATTACTGCAGATTGACACACACAGCACCTCTGCCATGCTCTATGTTCAAGCTAGTTTGAGTTGTGTCTCTATGATATGCCACCATAATACAGCCCTACTACAGATAAAATAGTTAATCCTGTGTTATATGGACCAGGGGTCACTGAGATGTGTGGAGCAGGAGGTAAAAGGAACAAATGGAAGGGAATAGGCCAATTCCATCGAAATGAGACTGGCAGTGGCAGTGATAAAGGTGAACAGCTGGTGGCTAAATGAAATTAAGGGTATGAAGTGGGCTGACTTGGGCAAAGATAGGATGCCAGGGTAAATATGTGGTAGTTACTACCTATTTTATTTGAATTTGGTGACTAAGTGTTACTAGTATGATTCAGTAGGATAGAAGGGAGACAAGAGTTTCAGGAATGATTTTTCTTTTAAACATCTTGCATTTAAGGTGCCTGTGACTCATTTGCTGGTCTAGATATTAATCAAAATCATAAGAAAAGAGAGCTGAGCAGAAGTCCAGATTGAGAATCATCAACATGTGTGTGTTAAAATGAAGGAAATGGATGAAGTCAGCAAAGGTAGGGTAGAGGGTTAGAGAAGGTGAAGTTTGAGAAACAACCATATTTAAAACTCATGAGCCGTATCTTCAGCAAGCAGAACAGAATGTAAGCTTCTCAAGGATGGAAATTATGACTTCATCATATGAGGCTCTCTAGGGCCAGGCACAATGCCTGACAAATAATACATGCTATACGTACATAACATTACACACACATGTGCACACACGCAATGTTGTAAAAATCAAGACACCGATGAATTAATGGAGTTATATTTTGGTGTCTTCACATGGCTTCTTAGGGACAGTCTGCCCTGGGTTTTTATCTCTACTTTGCGGCCTCCACATTAGGATTATCTTTATTTCTATCATTTCAGGGGGTGGTGGAAATGGAAGGAAAAATGTGAATAAGGGCATGACCTGTTACTCCTTGACTTAACCTGTCTTTTTCCTCCTAGGATGCGAGAGATGTCACAGAAAGGTATGTGTAGGAGAACGTGAGGTAGTTCCCTTGGACTGACAAATGATTCCTTTAACGATGATCAGTGGGAAAGCGAAAAAGAATCAGAGTAGAGAAGATGCAAGACTGTGGTCTTGAATTGTGCATCACATGAGAGTTTTGGCATCCTCAAATAAAGGGAATGAACTGGCTCGTATGGTAGGAAAATGTGGGTGATGGGAGGTCACCAGTTGGGGACAGCACTGCTAGAGTCAAGAGCTGCAGTATCAGTGACTCTCCAGGCACCCTGTTAAGTGTATTGCTCCATAAACCTCTGTGCATGCTTTCATCCCTGGTTCTTAAGTTTATAGTTACTCAATATACACAGGAATTTTCTTTGCCCATAAATTGTTTATTTTTTATTTTATTTATCTTTTTTTTTTTTGAGACAGAGTCTGGGAATTTGCTCTTGGGATATCTGCCTTAAGTTTTCCTTTCTCCCAGCCCTTGCTCCCTAGATTTTCTTTCGTCTCAATTCCAATAAAAACATAAGCCTGAGCTCTTGAAAATAATAATTTAACCCAGGAGCCAAACATGTTCTCTGTCACATACTCCAGAGTCTCATCTGACAAGGTGACATCTCAAGTTGCTCGCTCACTTGGTACCTTCATGCTCCTCACAGACACATGAAATATGAAGCCTGTTGTCCCTTCTGAAATCTGCACTCTCCATTTGGAGGTGAGGACATCTTTTCTCCGGCTGGCAGCGTAACATTCCCAGAGACAGCAAATTCTAAAATGAAATTTTGAAGGTTTTTTGAGAAATCCTAAGGCCTAAGCCCACAGACTCTTCTGAATAGAATGCTTCTCTCTCAGAGCCCCAGCAGCAGGCCCCTGGTGTTCTGCCTGTCAGCCCAGACATCTTCAGCCCCTCTGATTTAAAATATTTTATATCTTTTCTTAGAGGTAGCAAAAGTTTTCCCAGCTATTATTTTACTGAATTGCATAACATCTCTAGAACATAGAGAAAGGAAAATTATTTTATTTTCTAAAAACAACAACAGAAAATCAAAATGAGGCTTTATGAAGTGAGATCTTACAAAAGTTTATGTAGATGGGGAGATGATAGTTTCTAGTCTAGGTCTCCTGGCTCCAGTGCCAGGGCTGTTTGTAGAATGACGCTAAGTTTCTTCCCAAAGGAGGACTGAAGTTCATCTGTAGGCTTGGGAGGTAAGAGAGACGGGGGTGGACGGGTGCTGCGGTCCCACACAGTCAGCGGTGTGGGAATTCAGAAGTCCTGTCCTTTCTAGGAGTGAGTTCTGGACCCTGAGGAAGCCAGAAGCTCTCCCTACAAGGCTGAGAAGTATGTTTCGAGCCCCAGATCTGAAAAAGATGCTGCGAGTGTTTAGAGGTAAGGAGATGCAGGGGAAAGCGTTTGGATGTGGAGTGACTGTCGTGGGAAGAAATAAACAGCATAGAGGATATAGTCGGTATTTGAGCAGAGTGGCAAAGAGGGAGGTTCCAGAGGGAGAGACAGAGTGTGCTGAAGAAGATGTACTTTGTATTTAAGGGGAGATGAAATGGCCAGGAACATCCTCACAGGATTCCTCAGCATTCCCCTCAATTTAGCAAGGAGAGAGACACCAGACATGAGACAATTGGTCCTCTTCAACATTATTAACTCTTTTTATCATTACAGAGCTGACAGATGTCCAAAACTACTGGGGTAAGTAGAAGCCGTGGCCTCTTGCTGTGGGCTGGCACATTCTGATCTCCTTTCACATGCTCCTCCCCGGGCATATCCACCCAGGTCCTAGGTGTTAATGCCTTCCCCATCCCCACCAGATAGTTCCAGTCCCTCCAACCACTTCCTGTGTTTCCTCTTCTCAGCATAATGAGACCCATGTCCCCATTCTCATCTGCTGATGTTGTTCCTTTTCCTACAGTGGACGTGACTCTGAATCCGCACACAGCAAATTTAAATCTTGTCCTGGCTAAAAACCTTAGACAGGTGAGGTTTGTGGGAGCTAAAGTATCTGGACCTTCCTGTCTGGAAAAGCATCATGACTGTAGTGTCCTGGGCTCCCAGCACTTCTCCTCTGGGAAGCATTACTGGGAGGTAGATGTGGCCAAGAAGACTGCCTGGATCCTGGGGGTATGCAGCAATTCAGTGACACCTGCATTCTCTTTCGTCCAGTATGCTAAAAATCACACTGCTTACTCCAGATACCAGCCTCAGAGTGGATACTGGGTGATTGGGTTACAGCATAAACATGAATATAGGGCCTATGAGGATTCTTCCCCTTCCCTGCTCCTCTCCATGACAGTGCCCCCTCGCCGTGTTGGGGTTTTCTTAGATTATGAGGCTGGCACTGTCTCCTTTTATAATGTCACAAACAATGGCTTCCCCATCTACACTTTCTCTAAATATTACTTTCCCACCACTCTTTGTCCATATTTTAATCCTTGCAACTGTGTGATTCCTATGACCCTGCGTCATCCAAACTCTTGAATATTCTTCTGTTCTCACCCACTTCTGATAAGTGCCCTGAGGCTAATCAGCATGTGGTTCTCTCTTCTGATCTTCTGATTTTCTGTGTTCTCAATTCTTTTGTTGTTTTTTTTTTGTTTTTTTTTTTTTTTTTTTTTTTTTTTTTTT